TCTGGCTGGAGCAAACACTGGGGTGTTTGCCAGTGGGCTGTACTTCAAATACACCTGCGCTTCAGTTTGCTATGTAACTATTTGGATTCCAATCATACCCAATATCCCTTTCTAAGAAGATTGATAACTCTCTCCTGCCTGCGTGTTAAGCATGCATTTATTCACTGCTATGTTCTGATGGGTAAATTGATGCGGCAGAAGGACAATTTTTTCATCACTTACATAATTTATAAACATCAACGTTTTGTGTCTTGACATCTTTTGAAAGCAATAAGATGACTTAAAATGAGCAAATCAGTAATATGAAAGGAAAAGTGTGAGTGTTTTTGCTTGAGGACTGTCAACACACCATTGATCATTTATTTTTTAACACATTCTGTAATTACCAATTATTTTAATATTGTCTTTTAGCTTTTTTTTTTAATCTTCACTGACTACTGGGGAAAACCATTCATATCTAGTTAATACATCCTATGCTTTCTTTGCTAACTAGTTGCTAACTATATTCTTTTCAGTGCCTTTTCAGAGCTTTTTTTGCTGCACGACTTGGACAAAAATGATGCTTAGTGAACAATCATTACAGTACCTTACCACCTCCCTCCATTTTTTATGCTAAGCTATGCTAATTGCTTCTGGCTCTCGCTCAATACTTGATACGAAGACATGAAAGTGGTACTGATCTTCTTCAACTCTTGGCGAGGTAGCAGTAAAGAAATGTGGAACTATTTCGTAAAAAGATCTTCATCCATTACTCAGCTGTTTTTTGGGGCAGGTGCACATCTCTTTTACGAAAGTGCAGGTGTTGCTGGTTGCAGCAACAAAATTTACTCTGAAACTACTTACTAAACATGTAAATACTTGTGACTTTTGTTGCCTTCCCTGGGTCATTTGTAACCAGGCAGCTTGAATATTTCTAGAATATGGTTGGAGTCGAGATAAAGAAAAGAGAAGTGTGAGTAACCAAAGAGGGACGGTCTCCAGCTTGGATAAATCACCAAACAAACACATATTAGAAGAACAACTTTAGAGCAATTTGACTGCACATCTTATCTCTTATCTTTTTATAGCATTTTGCTGACCTCAATCTCATCAGGGTCAAAAGTTCTTCGCTTTGTCAAACTACATTACATCATAGACAGACATCAATGAGTTGATGGATTTTGTATCTGTCACAATTTTGGTGTCATATAAAAATGCAGTCAATCAAATTCGCAAGCTGGCAGACTGACAAGTGATGCAATCGGCAGGTTATTTCGACAGGAAATAGGAAAAAGGAGGAAAATTAGTAATGAATAGTTTTTGCCTTGAGCGATGTAAATGTGTCCATTTGGTGTGAATCACCATGTTTGACATTTGCCAAGCTAAGTATGGTGCGGTGTGGGTTCGTTTTGTCTCCCTGCACTTCACGTCCTTGTGTGTTTTCCCCTGTGAATGTAATTGTTTGCCGTGTCCCTGATTGTTTCCTCCTCTAAAATTCCTCATCTTTAAAAACAAAAAGGGGAAGGCAGGTACTTTTAATGACCCCAAATCGCTTCTGGCTATACAAGTATAAATAAATGGCATGCAACAGTATTAAGTAGGAAGGATATTTTCGTTTTTGTTTATTTTTGCTCCGTAATTACCTTCTCTCTGCACGATGGATTGTTCCAGTTTCGGGGAACACTCGACAATTTTCACGTATGGACACAGCAAAATAACATAAAACCTCAGGTGGAATGACGAGCCGGTCTGGCTTCCTCTGACAGCTGTTTGTGTGAAAGTAGATGAGGACAACGCCACTAACAGTTTACCCCAGACACCTCAGCGCCAACATCTGTCTAACGAGGGTGCACGGGGAGTTCCCCTGGAGCCTGACATAACAGCGCTTTGATATCAGGAGGTTTGCAAATTTTCAAGCAGACATTGTGCGCAATGAAGATGAAAAAGCTGAAAGGCTGAAGCGTCTGGCATGTCAAATTTATTTTTTAAAGCCGTGGATCTTAGCAATAGTACAAAGTATGGAACCAATTGTTTTACTGTATTAGATAGCTTGTTCTCAAACATAATGTAATATCAATAGCTCTATAGTACTCAAATTGTCTGAAGGCATGGCAAATTGTGACCCCTGCACGTGTGCACACAACATCTAGACTGTGAGAAACGTCAGCTAAAGGTAATTGCTTTAGTCATTTCTAGGTCATTATCTTTCTCTCTGTGTTTCTTTTGTGTCTCTGTTATATCTGTTTGATTCCAACAAGAAGCATTAACAGTTACAGTACCAAGATCTATTTCTGTATTGAATAAAGGGAATTTTCCTTTCTCTATTTTTAATTAAATATGCTCTTTTCAAAGGAATGTTTCATAATGGCACACGTGGTGGCTCAGTAAATTACGTGCAGGGAATGTTATCCAACTTTACCAATTCATTCAAGTTACTTGCCATATTTTGGATCTAGAGATGTCCTTTAGAGAAGGACACGCAACACTTTGAAGAGCAAAAAGACTTATATTATTTCTCTGTATGCACTCAAGCAATCAGGGCTAAACTAACACAGCTAAACTGATACAGGGTTCTTCCAGCTGTAGTCCCTGCTGCTCCCAAAGAGAAATGGTTGCTGTCCATGGTTCTGAATTATGTGCTAATTTCAGGGTCAAGATACATTTAAAAGATAACGATGCTTCAACGGTACACAAATTGTTGCCATATTGATCCTGACTTTACAAGTCAAGGGAAGCAGATCCAATGGTTGATGGCATGGAACCAACGCTGCAAAGCCCACACTTTTCTGCTAGAGAAGGAAATTGCAGCGAGAATTGAAATTCTTCACGCAAATAGGTCAGGGTAAGGTTACCGTGCAACGGAACACCTGAAATTGAAAATGTTGAATAGATGAAAAGTTCCAACCTCAGGTTTGTGGTTAGCGTAATTATTGCAAAATGCATGAAGGTGTTAATATCCCTAACAAGCTCTGCTCGCGTTGTGGTCAAATGTTAAACGGTTGGCCGAAGACGGACACACTCAGTGGCAACCCAAAATGCTCTAAAGACATGATTCACTGTGGACTTAGAAATATATCGTCTCCTACATATGGAGTAGCTTATAACTCCCTGAATATGAATAAAGAATCATCCCTTTGACCCCTTGAGAGCTCAAGAGATCACTGGTAAACTGCATTAATGCTTTGGTTTCAGGGTGCAGTCTTCATCTGGTTTCCTCAGGTGACCCAAGTCTGAGTGATGGAACTCGGAGAACACAGCTCGACATGAATCATGCATAAAACATGCGCATGGCCATGTAACCCCAGGTGAAATGCAACAGCAGATGGATGAGAGCTCAGGTCGACGCAGCAAGTACTTGGATTCAAATGAGAAAGGAAAAGCTATAAAGGAGAGATTCATCACCTGTCATTGGACAAAAAGGTTGAGAGCAGGATGGCCTTCGAGGTGTTGGTCTCATCTTTGTCACCTGTCGGTTCATCTTTGCATAAAGAAGGACAGAGGCATGGGTCTCCAGGTGAATCTTCAAGGATCTTCAGAAGATATAAACATGTGATGGAGACAGCGGGACAGCGGGACATGTCATCACCTCTGGACGTGAATTTCTATCTCTTTGTGGACTGACAGGATGGATGGATGGATATACTAGATTTCAAAAAGCAGTATCAAGATGTCATGGTCACACGTCCATACCTTATCCTACCAATTTACACCTGGAGCTCTGGTTAACAGTTAGCAGAAGAGTCATCTTATTGAAATAGGCTGTAGAAGCCTGAGGAGGTGGAATTGCTGGGTTCTTCCCAGGAAATATTAGTATCAGAAAACCATATAGCATTGTTGGCATTGTCCTCATTCACACTTATTCACTTTGGTAGCCACTTTCTGAAGACATCACTGGCTAATATCTATGGAGCATATAAACATGCAGCATTGTTGTGCCACGTTTGAATTAATAATAATAATAATGATAATAAATAAACAAAAATTGTGACAAAAAATCTTTATACCTTCTTTCTTTTGTTCTTTTTCCCCACCACTATTTGTGAAGTAAAACTCGAAATAGAGCCAGAGAATATTGGCTGACAGACTGGGTGGCCTGAAGGTGGGCAAATTAATTTCAGTATGTGGCGCCAGGTCACTCATCACTTAGATTTTGGATTTTCATTTCTATGTCATTGGTTAAGACACACATCCACAGTTTGTTTTTTGGTTTTATTCTATTTTTGATATGGCCCACAATATCAAAAAGTATGGTCATCCCCGATTGAATCCCTGATAGAATTCCTCCCGGTGTCTCTTCCTCTTTGAAATGCATGCTGCAGCACCACTCTCACACCTCAATGATCCCCATCAGGAACTCCTCTTGGTTCTCTACTCCACAAGCAGGTCAGGGGTTTGCTAGAGAGCGTCCCTGGACGGGGAAGCTTACATACCTGAAGGACTCTCTTTGTACTTGCTTCAGCTGAATGACCTGAGCCCCACGACGCATCCAAATGGGTACTGAGTGGCAACGTTTATGTCACACATGTGAGCTAAGATCGGATCAGCTCCTGCCTGACTGACTATCTCGCCCCTTGGTGGTTTGAATGAGAGTGTTCCCAGCGCGCCCAGTACACCCAAAGAGCTCAGGCCCGGGGAGGATTGTCAAGCTCCATCCATCAGAGTGGAGCACCTTGCCACAAAGGTTCTCCCTTCTGATTTGTAACCCTGAAGCTTTAGAGCGACCCTTGTTAGGCTCTCTGCGAAGCTGATTAGAAAGTAGAATAGCTCCAAGTGGTGCTGTGGTTATAATGCCACTTGATTTTCTTTAAGGTACCCAAATAGACACTGAATAGTAATAAACTTGCTCCACCGTGGTTTACATGTAACACCCTCACTGTAATGGAAGAGCAGTTGCTTCCGAACAGGTATGTAACATATATGTCATCATCACGACAGACATGTTGGACAGTTTTCTAGGCGAGCTTCGGATACTCCAAATAAGCTGCAGTCCACAGCGTGCGTCATTGCGGAGCGGCGCGTCCAACCCACAGTTGGTTAATGGGAATCCGCTGACGGAGCACAACCAGTCGTTCGCGCGGGCACGTGTATGCGCGTATCAGGAGGTCTTCGACTGAAACTGGATGGAAAGTCTTGACTGCGACGACACCGACCCGGCGGGAAATTGTCTTACGGCGAACGGAGTGTTATTCCCACGATGCGCTGACTTCTAGGACATGTTCACAGTGATCATCGGTTACAGGTAAAGTTTGGATTCTAACTTTGTAAAAGCGACTGACTTTCCGTTTCTCTTGGTTTGAAACGGGGCGTCTTTGCTGCGCGTTGAATTTTGGAGACGTTTGTTTTCCTTTCGTGCGCCTTTTCTCACCAACGCGGACGGTCAAAAATAGTGTGACGGTTCCAACTTTGCAATATGGAAATATTTTAAAATCAGTCAGTAAGCGGTCGTTCGCAATCATGAGTTGATGTTACTTCACATCTTAAAATGATTTGCTGGTAAGTGTGTGTACGTGTGCTTTGAATGAATCGTGTGTGTGCGAGCTGTCGTTTGTGCAGCAGCGCACATCCGATTCTCCCTCTGGATGTGAACGAGGGTTAACACGTCTCCGCTTAATTGTATTGGGTGATTGAATTTCCCCACAGGGATACTTATGTATACATCTATTTATTAGAGATGTGAAGGGGGGGGGGGGGGGGGGCTTTTGAGGATGATAGTTATAGAAGCGGCAGCTGGTGGAAAATAGTTGTTCATACAAATGATGGATCGTTTGATATTCAATTATTGCAACAGAAAAAAGAGTGTAGATAAAACTTGCTAATAACAATGCTATTCGTGTCACTCTATGTAAGGCATTTTGCTCTTCTCTCATCGTGGCAAACCTCTCAATTGCAGTCAAGAATGTCCCTGACAAGAGAACGCGCAAGCTGCGGGCATTGTTGCGCTTGCCATTGAAGACAGGAGGTGCAGGAAAAGCGTATTTTTTGCGCAGATATCCTATTTTACAAAAAACACAACATAAATATTGTCATTTTTTAAGAATTTGATATCATCCTTTATTTCCTTTTTTGTTACTTGTTTTTTTTTTTTAGCTCAAGGAGGGGCGCTCGAGGTGCGGGACGCCCCATTGCCCTCTATGGGCCATGGTGCCACTGGTTAGTAGGTGAAGGTCGGGCGATGAAGGGTTATGCATGAATCAATCGGGGGTTAAACTACAGCCCGCGGGCATCCACAAGCCAGTAAGCAGGTCGTTCGTATCTATGGTGATCTACTTTGGCCCAAATGCTCTCCATCAGATAAAGCTGTCAAGTAGACGTGCACCTTCTGGCCATGTCTCCGTTCAACTGTGATAAAAAACTAATCAAAATCACAACCTAGACGACCCCCCCCTCCCTATATCCTCCACCATCTTCTCAAACTGCATTTACGGCGCCTTTAATCAGTGCCACGGGCACAGATTGTAAAAGCACGCTTAATTGGTGCAGATCTTTTTGTTCACTCGCTGGATATAAACTGGCAGCTGCCCGCGCGGATTGCAGCTCTGGCAGTGTATCGGCCGGCTGACGCTCAAGAAGGGAGAGGAGAGAGGTTTAAATGTGTAAAGATAAAGGGAAAAGGCTCTCTGCGATCATCAAAACTCCAGAACTGTTTCTTCTCTCCCCCTCAGATGGACCACGGTGTCATGTGTCATCTGTAATGTCATCTGATGGCCCATGACCTTTTGGTATACTGTCCAGTCTTGAGCTGTCACAGTCTCCAGATGTGTCTTCAGATCAACTGTTCTCCCCTCAGGATTTTCTTTATTTCTTAATTTCTTCTACTAATTACGTCTGAAACGTGGCCCATAGGTGGGGTCTTGATGGAACAGATGCTCTCCAGCAGTTTTGCATAGTATAACGCAGTGTGTTGTGAATGAGATATCTTCATATGTCATTATTTCATTAGGAACAGTTTGACATTTCGATAAATAATGCGTTCGCTTTTCTTGCCAAAGCAGAATCTTTAATATTACAAATAAAAGAACACTTGAAGCTTGAAGCTCATTCATTAAATTATTACCATCATTGCAATGCAAGTTAAGTAAATGTATACACCCCATCTAAGTACAGCTAAAAAACAACCAAGTGCTATGGGATGGATTTAAATGGCATTTGTAAATAAACGCATTAGAGGCTTCTTAGTTAGCGCTGGTTTAATGGATCACCGTGTTTCCCTTTACAGGCGTAACATCAACTACCGTATAACCCACAGTATGTGCGCAAGCGCACTAGACTACCGTACATGACAGCATTAAAAAGTACAACACATACAGTACACATATATTTGTCAAAATAAAAGCACGAAATATATACAAGACGACAGATTGAAAAATGAATTGCCCAAAAGAGTTTAAAAAAAGTGTGTCTTAGTCTTGCTTACTGCTTTACTGCTGTTATTAGCGAGCTAACGCTAGCTTGATGAGCTGGATGAGAGTAAACAGGAGGCTCCTTACGTTCCTCGCGTCAAAACGGGACAACGTGGAGCTCCCGTGCCAGGTTACGTCAACTTTGCATATTTTGCCATTGACACACTTTCAGGGCTCTCACGTGTCACGCATCGAGCGTGACAGTCACTCGTTTCTGTCTTTAGTAACGCACTCCCGCCACACATCCAATTTCTCACGCAAAAAAAAAGCATTCTGACTTTGGTTCCTCTTCAACCTCCCCGTCGGCCGTGGCGTCCCCCCCCTCCCCCCTGCTTGCACACCTTGGACGACTAGTCGAACAGACGTCTCTTCCTGCGTCATGTGACTCACAACAACTGCCGGCGCTGCTGGCTGCTCTTTCCTCTACGTCGGCTCGGCTCTTTTATTTTTTATTTTTGCTCAGTGCGCATCTCCGCAACACATTGAGTGACGTAATAATCGAATCGATAATGAAATTCTTTGCCAACGCTTTTAATAATCGAATTTTAGCGATTTCATGGATTTGTTGTTGCAGCCCTTGTTTCAACTGTTGTGTAACATGGTCTTTGGAGAAAATTGGACATTTACTTCCTGAATCAAGAGTTCTCTAAAATAAAGTTAACAACTCTTTAAGTAAACTGTTCCTTTAATCCCTACTTTATCATTATAATTTCCATTTCTATTACTTTTCCAACTTGTCTGATTCCTCTTCTCTGTCCTCATCACTGCTGTAATTGTAGATGTCCTCCCCGTACAGTATAATGGAGCGGAAACACTGCTGGCTCATCCCATTAATGATGCAGAGTTCTGGACACGAGAGAGATGTCTGAGAAGATGAGAAGGAGAAGTCACTCAGAGCCTGCATGGAGACTTCTAAATCCACAAATGAAACAGGGGAGGAGAGGAGCGGCCTAGATGAAGTCCATAGGGCTCCTGACGTTTCTCTGAGACATCGCCTTGGTGGGTTAGAAAGGGAGAGGAAGGAAGAAAGAGACCCGGAGAGGGTCTCCTATCGGGAGGGCTGAGGGGAACACAGAGCAAAGTCACTTTTACATAATGAGTACTGTTGGATAGACATGTGGCGACAGCCTTAAAGAACCTTAAACCTCTCTCTGATGACAACCTCAGTAAGAGCTTTGATGACAGAGACAAAGATAGTTACGGAAAGGTGAAATACCTCATTACTCTATTCCATCACTCTGACATAAGTGATTCTTTCTGCTAGGAAGAATGCTTTAATATCACGCGTATGAAGCACAATGCTTTACTGTTATCAGAATCGTCATATACTGTAGATTCTGCTTCTAGGAGCTAAAGTTGTTCGGGCAGAGATGCTCCTGTACTGATCCTGGTTAGATAAAAATGTGCACATAAAAATGCGCTCAAAATATATCCAGAGCAATCACTTGCTAAGTCAGAGGTGGCTCCTGTACGAGAACATTGTTATCAGATTGATACTGCGTATTATCTCATTTCCTCAGTCCAGCTGTCACAGACAGCATTGTAATCCAATTTTCATATTTTATGCTTTTCAATTATGTATTTCACTCTTATGTATTTGCACCATATTTATAGTCACGCAGACTTAACCAAGACAAATTCCTCGTATGTGCTCTTGTTAATGAACAGTTTCCAATCCTGATTCAGTTGGATTTGCGGCTCCGAAGCGATTTATGAAACTCTGGACCGGTAAAATAACAAAATACGTTGCCCAGAACACAATTTCACAATAAACACACTACTTGTAAATGATTTGAGATATTTACTTTGTTTTAATTTATTAAATGCCTGAATTCTAATTAGCATGTGGATTTTGCTTAGAAAAATGAAACAATAAGAATCCACTTGCTTTATTAAATCATAATTATACGCAGTAGGATGCATTTTTCACAGCGAAACCTTTGATTTGTCACAGCAAGAATATAGTACCAGTGTAACACAACCTAATAGAATCCCCAGTGTGAATCACATATATATTATTAAATCAAATAGAGATCTAAAGTTCACCCCCCAACAAACGGAAACCAGTTAGCTTTAAAGTGAATCCCACTAGAATCTATCGCCAACATACTGTTATTAAAGTCCTTCTTCTTTTCACACGTCCTACTTGTCCATCCAAATGTCCTACGTTGTCAAAACGTTCCTTCATACGTCCTTCGTCATCAATACTAGCGTTTAGCTTTTCAAAATATTTTAGACAAGGATGCCTAGCAAACAATTGTTTTGTAAGAGAAAAGGATTTTCTTTCTCCCGTTGTAGTGGCTCGAGTGCCTGCAAAGGTCGACGTGCTGTGGATCTGACTCATCCTCTGTGCCCAGAATAAGTACCTTGAAGAGCGACTAAAGGAGAGAAAAGCCAGATAATTAGATTAAGTGACTCAGTTCTTTCTGACACATCTCATATTCCCCTTTTGCCCTTTTCAAGTCGGCTTAAAATCAAACGGCCAGCGGTCGGAGTCACAGCTGAAAGACAGGCTCCACTTTGGACGTCCGTCACCGGTCCTCCAACGATGGGTCCGTCGTCATCATGGTCACGGTCAGAGGGAAAAACATGGTCTGAACAGTAGAGATATCTGTGTAATATCTAGAGCACAGCATAACCTTGGGGAGATAATAATTCAGCGTCTCATCTCCTAAAATAACAAGACGGCAAATATCTGGTACTTTGAAGATTAGGGTGAAAACATCCGTAGTCCAAAGTTAGCATTTTTGTGCATTGGCTTTCATATGTATGTGTTAACAAAAGCTGTTGCTCCAAGGTTGTGTGTTTTAAATGTGAGCTAAGCCCTAATTTAATGACT